GACCTGGCTTACTGTATGAACAGTGGGATCCTCTGCTGGTGTGCAGTGTGTTTTATGGATCCAGTTACTTAACTTGTTATCAGTGAGCCACAGTTTAACACAGTGTGTGGTGCTTTCTGCTACCTTGAAGGGTCCTTGCCACCGTGGTTCGAACCAGTGGAGTTTGTTCACCTTGCGGTAGACCCAGCTGTCCACAGCAGCTGAGGTAGGCTCCTCAGATTGGTCTCTGTGCAGGATTTCAACTACCTGTTCAGAGAGACTTGTTAGAATTGGATTTCAGGAGTTGCAGTTGTTTTATTTACTGTCAGTATTATTTTGCATTTATAATGATAAAGTTGATTATGACTGTTTATGTTTTATTAGCAATCCCATATATCAGTATTAACCTTACTATTATACTCGCATAAAAGTTATAATTTTCAGCTGAAGTTCAACTTGTAGTGTCACTTATTTTCTTAGATGGTTGTGCAAGAGCAGATTGCATTAGATAAGTGTCATGTCAGCTATAACTGCATGTCCATCTTTGGAAAAACGCCTGAACACAGAAGATAACAACACACACACATATTGCCTATATGAACATTCTAGAATATTGACGTATATTGTACCACCCATGTACAGGGCAGTCCCAGCCCGAGAAGATAAATGTAAACGTTTGGTGATGATCGATGCTCTTGGAGACTTGCCATCTCTCAGGGCCCAGCGCTGTAATAACTCTGCATCTAACCAGAAGAAAATAAATCTACTTAAAGCTGATTTCAGTATCCTGAGTGTTACTTCTTGGGGCCTTCAGACAAAAGAACCGGGTTAAAATTAAAAGACTCATCACGGCGCTGTTCAGCCGCCTGACATATTCACTTATGTCAGCATGCTGCAAAAGAAGAGGTGTTGAATCCCTGGGCCTAAGAGTGAAAGGACAGGGCATTTTTCTCCCGATGAGCGTTAGCAGCATTTCCAGGCACAGATAGCAGCAGAGGAAGCAAAGTGTGTCATGGATTTGAGGGATGCTTCAGCAGCAGCCACATCCTTGCTGGGAGGAACCAC